CTCGGGCAGGCTTCGGCGTTCGTCGTCCCCGGAGTACTAGCTACTACCGCTTGATGTCTCGATGTTTGTTTGGTCTTGTCTTGTTAGTGCACCTGTTTTGTGTTATGTATTGATTAGGTCACCAATACGTTTCCTTTAGTTTTGTTTGCAGTTGTGTGTGATTGTCCGCCTGTCCGTTGATGTATGGTATTTGTTCTCGTGTTGATAGTGTATTTACGCACTGTATGCGTAATCGCTCGCCTCCAGTGTTTGAGGCCCGTTATTTTGTATTGTCTTGTTGACTAGTAAAGTCGTTTTGACTGAGCTTCTGTGTCCTGCGCCTGACTCCAACACCGCATCCACATCAGCTTGTGATGGTAGCTTAATATTTAGATGTTTGGGGCTGCTGGTGAACCATGATGTGAAGGCATAATCAAAGTGACACTGGACTAGCACACTTGCCACAGTCTTTAAGGTGTCTATAGCTAGGTTTCCATCCAATTGGCGACAGATTTTCATGTGAATATTCTAAAATCTGCATATAAACCAAATATGAGCATTTCAGGGTTTCCTTTAGGAACATTTGGCACCGAACAACGTGACTAGGAAGATTTTAATTCACCAGACATTTGAGAAATGTACTGGACATCCATATACATTCAGATCTGACTTGGCAAAGCCAGTGCCATCAATAAATGAGGGATATTGGCCAAATGAGCCATACTTAGGGACTACATGTCCTTAAAAACAGCCTATAAGAAATTACAAAAACACTATGTCTTGTGTTTAGTGTAGCTTATGTAAAACTATATAGCCTATTTTTTTGTATTCGTTTTTAGGCTACTTTCCTAAAACAATAATTGTCCACCTCAGGTTCCGCTGTGGAGATTTGAGCACTAAATGCATCAGGGCATTGCATGAACATACTGTAGACCTATAGGCTTAGGTGTCCACCGTATGATACTAATATAAAAAAATATATAGCCTATATAAAGGAAGAGAAGCTTGTCACGATCGCTGAAGGAAGTGGACCAAGGCGCAACGTGATAGGCGTACATCTTTATATTTTATTCACCACACGAAACAAAACAACAAAACGATACGTGAAGTCTACGGTCAATAACACAAACCTACACAGAACAAGATCCCACAATACACTACTGACAAACGGCTGCCTAAGTATGGTTCCCAATCAGAGACAACAAGCAACAGCTGATTCACGTTGCCTCTGATTGAGAACCACCCCGGCCAACATAGATACACATGAACTAGAACTTAAACACAGAACACAAACACATAGAAACTACACACCCTGGCTCAACATAACAGAGTCCCAGAGCCAGGGCGTGACAAAGCTTAGGCCTATCCCCAGAGCGATAGAGAGAGAGATAGAGATATGCCAGGAATGCTAGACACCAACATGCATTCTTTATATCAGATGGCTACTGCATCTGCTATACAAATATAGGCTTACAGAAGGAGGTTAATTCATTAATTTTCGCTCAGAATGTTTTGAATAAAGATAAGCATTGTATTGTTAGATTATAGAGGTAACTCTGGTAGGCCTGAAACATTCTTCCTCACCTCAAATTCAACTAAAGGAGTCAGTTGGAGCGCCAGTGCACACTGCCTTCATGTCATACAGTGAGGGGAAAAAGTGTTTGATCTCCTGCTGATTTTGTACGTTTGCCAACTGACGAAGAAATGATCAGTCTATAATTTTAATGGTAGGTTTATTTGAACAGTGAGAGACAGAATAACAACAACAAAAATCCAGAAAAACGCATGTCAAAAATGTTATAAATTGATTTGCATTTTAATGAGGGAAATAAGTCTTTGACCCCCTCTCAATCAGAAAGATTTCTGGCTCCCAGGTGTCTATTATACAGGTAACGAGCTGAGATTAGGAGCACACTCTTAAAGGGAGTGCTCCTAATCTCAGTTTGTTACCTGTATAAAAGAGACCTGTCCACAGAAGCAATCAATCAATCAGATTCCAAACTCTCCACCATGGCCAAGACCAAAGAGCTCTCCAAGGATGTCAGGGACAAGATTGTAGACCTACACAAGGCTGGAATGGGCTACAAGACCATCGCCAAGCAGCTTGGTGAGAAGGTGACAACAGTTGGTGCGATTATTCGCAAATGGAAGAAACACAAAATAACTGTCAATCTCCCTCGGCCTGGGGCTCCATGAAAGATCTCACCTCGTGGAGTTGCAATGATTATGAGAACGGTGAGGAATCAGCCCAGAACTACACAGGAGAGATACTATAGTAGGGTAATTGTATTGTCCCTAAACAAGATCAATAGGGGAGCTTTTCGAGCTGTGTTTCAAGTCTTCACTGTTCTTTCATGCAATGATGCACCTGGCATCCGCTGCCTATCAGCTATACCTATTTGTTCTTGTCGAGTCATATTGAAAATGGATGCAGCTTTGAATGTTTTTATGTGTGGTACGATTGTTAGTTAGCCTATTGCAGATCTGGACAAATGATCCACCTACCACTAAAGTCACTATGAATGGTTGATAGAGTGCAGGATTGACGTTAGACTGGTAGACTATAGTGACCTGTGGTATAGGAAAAGTTAGCACAAGGAAAAGCGTAGTGCATAAGAGAAGTACCAAAACACCTTGATATAGGGGAGGCGCATGCAAGCAGATGAGGAAATGTGCCTAGGATGGAAGAAATTAGATAGTAAAACTTGCAAAAGAGCAAATGTTAACCAGGAAAAAATAGGCACTACCCTCCCCTGTGCCCAATAAAAAACCACACAACCCTCCCGAAAGCAAAAAAAAAAGTTTGACAATCCTTCCCTATTTTGGACCACCTCTCCCCCAGTAAATTGCCATCTGTCCCTTAGTGCATTCATCTTAAAGGCCCAGTGTATCAAAAACGTGATTTTCCTGTGTTTTAAATATATTTCCACGCTATGAGGTTGGAATAATACTGTGATATTATGAAAATGATGATAAAGCTCTTTTAGTGTAAGAGCTGTTTGAAAAGATCGCCTCACATTTCAGCCTGTTTTGGTGGGATGGAGTTTTGGCCTGCCTGGTGACATCACCAAGCGCAACATTTCTTAATAGACCAATAGGAAAGATAGTTCCAAGCCTCTCTGCCAATAACAGACAGTTTTCAGTTTTCCCCTCCCTATCCCAAACTGTCAGAGCAAAATTATTGTTTATTTTTTACCATTTTAATTTAAAACAATCACAGTAAGTCAGAGGTGGCAACATAGGCCTGGGGCCCGTAGTTTTTCCTGATCTGGTAACCTAACCAGGTAAAACTCCCGACCTTATACGGTATGACGTGATTCATCTGTAGTAAAAAGGTTTAATATGGGCTACGATGGGACAAGAGTTTTTCTAATCAGGTCACATGGTATAAAAAAACTCCTGGAACAACTCCTGGCCTTGGAGAGGATGAAAACCCAGTCAAACTGTAGCAACCTTGTACTTGTTTATATACAGTAAATTATATGTTAAAGAAGGACTAGGGTGTTTCCTAAATACCAGCCCAGTGATTCCCACTAGTACTAGGACCCCTGGGGGTACTTGGACTATCCACAGGAGGTACTTGAAAAGACTAATGAGACCATAGGCCTACTGGTAAAAGAGCTATTTCAGGCGTACTCCGGGCAGAGCAGAATTCTGTTGATGGTACAGTAACCAAAAAAGGTTGGGAACCACTGCACTAGCCTAAACTGAATCGCCAGAAAACGCTAACATCAGGTTTTCATTTATACAATATTTTCAACCTAACTTCCATTTCCCCTGAAAAACGGAAGTGGGAACTCCACTCTGGTGTCTTTCTACTCATGCTATGTAAGGTTACCTATACACAGACACAGAGAAAGCAACATGATTGGACAATAAAACTCACAGGGCTGAGCTTGCAGGTTTGCATCTTGTAGTCCTGCTACATGCAACTGTAGGCCTAATAAAACATTTACTCACAGTCTATGTCAACTATTGTGTTTATTAATTACAGTTAATAATTTTGGATTGAAAAAGTCTAGGTAGCCTAGTTAGCCCAAGTTTGAATATAAACTAAATTTGATCCCATACACATTTTCTCACAAACAAATGGCCTATAAATACATAATGCTACAGCTTCGTTAACCTTGTCAGAGGGAGAGGGCGCATAGTAGGCTAGACAATGCAGCTGCTGTTGTTAGTAGCCTACAGTTGATCAGACTGAAAAATTGTCTTGTTTCTTTGCAATACAGCATGTCAGATGGCTAATGTTTAGCTGTATAGGCTGCTACATTTATGGAAGTGTTTTTGCTTGCGTCTGTCGGGTGTGATGTGTTATCAGCTTACCAAATAAATACTGGAGGAAAGTGAAGAGCGCGCCTTGAGCTTTGTGCTTGTGCCTAGGCCGCGTGGCCTGTGATTTCCGTGAATCTGATTGGTCAAGACACGAAAAGAGCCTGCAGCAGCACTCCAATGTGAAAGACAGAGAAATTGTGCACAAGTTGACAAATCAAGAGGCAAATCGGTCTAAGAAACAGCACTTTGCCCCTCTTTTTAACGCTTTGCGTCATTACATTTGATTACACTAAATCAAAAGTGATGTGGCACTGCCACACCTGAGTGAAAAGTGCTGTGGCAGCCCTGCAGTAAGGTACTTCATTGTTATTTGATATTGAGAAAAGAATGGCTGCATTGGACCATTAAAGATAGCTAGGTGAGACAACCACATATCACAGTCAGAGGAAGTACATTTTTCCTCAATAAAGTAATTATCAGCAAAGTCAGTGCTAGTAGGAAAAGATAAGTGTGAGGGTTAGAGAGAGAGAGAAGAGAAAGAGAAGTGAATAGATTCAAGGTAGTTATGAAACCATAATCACCACAAACTGTACATCTCCTGTGAATGGCAGAGAGGCTAGAACTGGCTAATGTGGGTGTGAGACCTGTGGGTTGGGTGTGAATTTAGCACATGAATAGATGCCTCTGTGTTTTGACACTACACACCCACAATACGGATAGAAAGTAATTTCATGCAAATGTAGTTTATTTATTTATTTAGTGGTACCCGTTTGAATGTGATATTACACTTTCAAAAAATATTATGAAACAAAACTTAGCATTACATTTAGTTATTTAGCAGACAACTTACAATAAGTGCATTCAAGTATAAATGCTGACACCCACACACAGTCCATGCTCCCCGTCCCCGTATCTTTTTCTCCACACATTAATTCTCACACACATAGTCCCAGTTCTCTGTCACACAGACACGGTCGCAGGTGCTATCCTGCGTATGTGTGTGTAGGACTTGTGGAGTGTGACGCTTCCGTGGTGAGAGACACCAAGCGGTAACACACATTCCTCGGTCATTGTGGTTGTGACTGGGTCCCAGCACATTACCGTGGAGATGACCTGGTTCTTGTCGTCACGGCCACCAGTGATGAAGAGTTTGTTGTTACAGGCTGCGATGGCGCAGCTCGCCCTCTCGCCCAGCCGGGTCACCATAGACCAGCTGTCTGACTGTGGGGAATAGCAGTACAGAGCATGCATGGCACCGCCTGGGGAGACACACAGCAGGATTGTTACAACACATACACACACACTAACACACAAATGGACACATACATAAACAATCAATATGATTGCACAGGTGAACTGAGAGTAGAACAGGTTTAGTCCACTCACCAACTACATAGATGCATTCCCTGAAGGTGACAGCGTTGGTACATTTGGCCTCGATGGGCATGGGCGACCGCAGGCCCCAGCTCTCAGTCCCTGGCTCCCAGCACTGCAGCCTATCAGTGGCTAGCTTCCCATTGGGCCCACCCCCGATCGCAAAGATCCACTTATCGAAGCTTGCCGCAGCGAATGAGCTCACGCCCAACAGGAGGGGTGGGGCCTGTAACATGAATCGGAGCAGTTTGTGAATGAGTCTTATGAAACATTATTTGTCAGCCATCTTGTGTAACAATGTCTCATCAGACAGTAGCTCCAATGCAGAATAACTGGAGTGATCACACCATATAATACATACAGACAGACGGACAGACGGACCTGTGTCCAGCGGTTGTGAAAGGGGTCGTAGGCTTCCACGCTGGTGAGTCTCTGAGTCCCATCGAACCCCCCCAGGGCGTACACCTTCCCCCCGTGAACCGCCATCTTGTGTCTCCAACGCCCAGTCACCAGGGGCTCAATGGGGATCCACCTGTCCAGGGCACCGTTGTACTTCCACGCCTCGTGCTGTGTCTCTTTTCCTCCTGCAGCAACAAGATGATAGTGAGAGTGAAAAAGAAACAACCGTTGACCTAGAAGAACAACCATTGTTTGTTGAAGTAAGGGAGGGAAAGTTGGCAGGGTAAAGTCACGTTAGGCAGGCACATGCCCCTTTGCCCTCTCACTCGCCAAGTGCCCCTTTGGATGGTGGGATAAATGTTTTGTCGTTGTTATTCTGAACCCATTGCCCGCAAGTCGTCGTGACGTCGTCAAGTTTGCCAACCCCCACCCCTACCTCGTCTATTGGTTGAGCCTGTTGGTCTGGCCTGTACAGAGGTTGCACATTTTCCCCAGTCTGCCCTGTACTAAGATTGTGCTACATGGCTTGAGATACGGTCACCGGTCGAGTGTGTGTAGCTAGCTATAGTTTAAATATCAACAGTACTGCCACAGCAGCATAACATTTGATTAACACTTGATAACACTTGATTTACATCATCATCAATATTGGGTCTGGTTGGCTGATACACGCAGCAGAGAGGCAGAAACACAGAGAGGTGCGGCTGCATCAATGACCCTCGCTCTGACCCAACTCCATCCCTTCCTCAGTCGGCAGCAGCAACACAGGTAGTCTAGACTCTAGCTAACCACCATATACTAAAATATCCACACATGTGCCCTTTCTTCAGTTTAAGCACCTGCCGCCTGAAAGGTTTGTGCACGGCCCTAATGTTATGACTTATAGTACAACCTAGGTGTCTGTGACATTTCACTTAGTAGAGGGAACAAAATAGAGAGAAACTTGCCTTAGGAAAGAAGGCACCTTGGGATTCTAAAATGATTTGTGCATTGTCTCTGGATATGGGGCTGTGTACAATCCCAATGGTGTGTGAATGAGGAATACCGCAGCAGTTCTGGATTCATTCCAAAAAGTTCCTCGCTTCGTGCTTGCTCTGTCTCCTTCATTGATCTGATAGGACTGGATGAGTATAATAAGTAACGAAGCAGAAACTAAGTGGAGCTTTTGCTTACATTTACCCCTTTACCTCAAATCCACAAGGAGGAGAAAGTGAGGGAAGATAGGATGCAAGATTGGGGGAGACATCTTTTTGGAATGAAACATAGTCAATGAGTGCTAACCATAGAGAATGATAGAGGACTCTAGATCCCAAAAGCCAGTTTAAGCATGGGCAGCGCCATTGAGAACTTCACCATTTTAAAGTAATCAACTGGGTGGGACTTCCTATGGGTTAAGGAATGATCACATAATTCCATCCAGGTCATCAGGAAGGATCAGCCAATTAATAATACTTTTAAGCAAACATTCCATAACTGCAGGTGGCAGTAAATCGCCAACCTTGGCTTTATACCTGTTCAAACAACACACTCCTGGTGGCAGTTTGCACCCTTTCCGTTTGTTTACCAACTCATAGAAGTAGTAAAAGAAGGAAATTGACGACTTCAAAATGGAGATGGCCTCAATGGCGCTTCCCGTGCGCTCAAAGATGCCATAATGGGACAGATACAAAGAAGAGTCCTATATCATTCTCTATGGTGCTAACCCCTCCCATAAACAGGAAGCCAATAAATACAGCACTCTCACACAGGAAACCACAGCTGATTGTGCAAACATCCCAAACTATGACTTCCTGCAATATCTCTGCTCCATCTTAGTAAAGATGCTATCAGGGCCAAATTCTCCGTTGTGACTGTAACAAAACTAGCTGCATCACTTACCGGATATGAACACCTCATTCCGGAAGGTGACACAAGCAAACTCCACCCACTTCCTGTTGTGGGACTCCTCCTCCATCTCTGTGATTGGCAGCTTGGCGACCTCTAGCCGGCTGCGGCGCAGGGGGTCAAGGCAGGTCACAGTGGCAACGAAGCGCTCCTCTTTGGTGCAGCCACCGATGATCATGAACACCTCAGACAGGTAGTGCTGTAAACGGGGCTTGGTACGCTCCGTGACCACCTACACACACACACACACACACACGGACAGAGATGCGTAAAAATCACAAACACACTAACCCTAACCTAACCTTTATACACACAAACACACACCTCGTTGCCTGACAGGTGGTAGGTGCGGGCCTCCTGCAGCAGGGGGAAGGCCTTGTCACAGCGGCGAATCAGCTGGTCGGCCTCCACCGTTTCAAGGAAGTAAGCCGGCTCCAGCAGTGGCAGCCGCACGTGTGACAGAAGACCAGCCAGTAGGAGGCATCGCTCCTCCTCCTTAGCTCGCACCCAGCGCATGAGAGCCTACAGTAGAGTATATATTGGATGGATGGATTTTTGCATTCCTCATAAAGTAAATGAAAAATCTGGTGAAAGGCAAGAAATTATGGCTTTTTTAAGGTAATGAAATGTATACTACACCTCAAACACACTCTCCTCACGTGTCACTCCCAGGTCGTCTCTCTTCAGAGCGTCCTGCAGTGCCCCCGCTGGCAGCTCCAGGTACTCCTCATGCTGAACCACTCTGGAGAACTCTGAAACCAGGTAGTCCTGGACCCTGTCCCTCAGAGCAGGCAGGGAATGGGCCTCAGCCAAACGCAGCACACCTACACAGCTCTCTGGCTGGAGAGAGTCAGCCAAGAACCCTGCACAGGCCTCCACTACACGAGGAAACTGGAGAGAGAAGATGGAGACAGAGAGGGGAGAGACAGAGGCAAGAGATGAAATGAAGATGACAGACAAGATGTTTTATCTATCTTCATCTAATAAACTTTTATTTGACTTCAATCAACCCTCTCGCGCATACATTCATGCATACAAACACACACACACACACACAAACACACACACACACAGACACACACACACACACACACACACACAGTCTTGTACAGCTAACCTTGTGGGGACACACAATTCAGCCCCACTCAAAATCCTATTTTCCCTAACCCCTAACCCTAAACCTAACCCTAACCCGTACTCTTACCCTTACCCTAGCCCTAACCTTAACCCTAACCTTAACCCAAAAACCTAACCTTAACCCTAACCCTAAACCTGAACCCAAGCTTAAAACTAACCCTAGCTCCTAACCCTAACCCTTAACGTAATTCTAACCCTAACACTAATTCTAACCTTAACCCTAAACCCTGTAGAAATAGCATTTGACCTCGTGGGGACTAACAAAATGTCCCCAGTTAGTCAAATTTTTGTTTGTTTACTATTCTTGTGGGGACTTCTGGTCCCCACAAGAATAGTTAAACACGTCCACACACACACACACACACACACATACACACACATACACACACACACACACACACACACACACACACAAACACACACTTAGCCCCACCCTGTCAATCCAGCTGTGAGCCTAATTCAGGCCTGAGTGGAAAACAGATCCTGAGAGTAAACAACAAGAATGACTTTCACTTCCCTGTCTCAACTGTCACCTGATTCAGAGTCATCTTCTGTCTGATGAGAAATAAGTAGGAAATATGATGAAGTTTGTGACTGTATGCGTTATTTCCATAAGGAGGAAGACCGGGATTTCCATATTCGACACTCATCTATTTAAAAAGTCCCTAAGGTTGTGTTATGAGTTCACAGAAACAGAGGACAGTCACGAGGAGGAGAGATAAAATGACAAAGATTAAGGAAAAAGGCTGAAAGATTCTCTGTTTCTACTGCATTTCTCTGGTGGGGGGCAATGCAAATAGTCCGGGTAGCCATGATTAGCTGTTCAGGAGTCTTATGGCTTTGGGGTAGAATCCCCCCCACCCCACCCCACCCCACTCCAACCCCCTCTTTTTCTAATAACCGTTTTCTGTGTTCATGCAAGTGACTGATTGAACAAATCCTCACTATCAGTATCTGCACTTTGGCAGTATGCCCAGACCCTTGTTTTGAGAACAAGGTCACAGCTTAGAGAGAAGAAGCCTCGTGAGGTATTGGTCTGTCACATGCATGACCCAGTATTGGTCGGTCACATGTTAATGATGAATTAATTATGAATTAATCATGCAAACATAACTTGTCTGTATATAAGAGAACTAACGGGTCTGCCCCGCGGGAGGTCCTGATCGACAAGTGTACTTGGTGCATTGAGTTGGTTGGAACCTCTCCAGCACGCTGATAATAAAGAATGATTCTTTTAAGATTGACTTTGAGTGTCCCTGTGTAGAATTTCCAGAACATAGTGTTTATACAGCATTTATATAGAGTTTACACAGTGTTACGGTAGCATTACTAAACTCACCTGGAACAGGCTGGCGGCCTCCAGCGTTCTCTGGACGTTGGTGTGTGTGATGATGGCTCGGCTGGTATAGGTGTAGTCCAGCAGAATCTTCATGGTCTCACTGTCCACCCCTTTAATCTCCACCTGCTTCTCATGACACTCTCTCAGACCACTGCAGAACATCGCCCTGGACACACACATACTGTACTCTAAGCATAACTTGACAAAGTTGTGAAATAAACATATGAGGTCATTCTAAAGCTACGGAAGAGAGAGAGTGTGTGTGTGTGTATGTACCTATAGTAGTGGCTGGCAGCAGCGAGCACGGCTCTGTGGCAGGGGAAGTCCTGTTCCTGAACTCGCAGAGTCACGTCGGTCAGCTCTCCACTCACACGAAGCGTCTCCATCCCCCTCTGGAGCTCCACAGACAGGCCTCCATCCTCCCAACGCATCCCACTTCCATCACCCCCCTCATCCTCTTCCCCAGGGTCAGAGCCCTCTCCGGGTATTTTCTCTGAGGGCCCAGGCAGAGGGGTGTCGGTGGTCCTCTCCAACGAGTCACTCATCCTCACAACGAGAGCCCCATTAACAACACACAACACAAACTCCTACCTCCGTAGACACACACATACTGCCGGACACACACTCAACACACAACTTTGCACCCCTTTCCCAGAGAATGGAGACAATACACCAGCCCTTGAACGCACATTCACCACAGCACATAACTTAATAGTGTGTGTGCGTATGTGTGAGTGTGTTTATCAACTCTTCCTGTCAGGTCCTCTGTAATACTTCCTGTTCCTGGTGCTGGTGCTTTGTGATTGGTGGATGATATGTGTTACTTTACCCAGCACACACGAACGCACACACACACACATGCACGCACACACACACATGCACGCATGCACACACACACATGCCACCACTCTGCTTCGCGTTGTACCCTTGGCCGTAGTATATTGGCCAAATTCCCCCTGTGGTTTTATTATTTCATTATAGATCTAATCATCTGTGCAGGGCCTATCTTCAATTTCACGACCCTCGTGAACAAGTAAGTTACTGTCTTACTCAGCATGAAAGCAGTCTGAATAGTAGCAGCTGCAGTAATAGTTAAAGTCCACACAGTTGCCATGCAGCCCAAGCTCACTAAACTACAGTAGAATTATGGGTATGTGGGATCATCATACCCTTTTCTCACAATGTGTTTTCGCTTTGTCCACTAAGTGGCAGTGTCAGATCGATGTTCATGCGATAACAGTTTTGGATCATTTCATGCTGAGACACAGGTGTAATAATAATACTGAAATTGGTTTACAATGTGGGTGCAATGGATTGATATAGGCATCTTTTCTCTGTAATGTTATTCTGAGCCTTTGTGATGAGAATCAGAGACAGATGGCGTATAGAACACAGGCACATACACACAAACAGACACAGACACAGACACACATATGTGTTTCCATTGTATCTGTCCCCATAGTCTGTTCGGTTTGTTTCAGTTGACCATCAAACCACATCTTTCGCTTCCTCTCAGTCTGTCTTTAGGAAGTAGTCAAAGCAATATTATAACAACCCATATATTACAGACACAGACAGACTGACAGACAGATTAGGTAAACCGGAGGTGTCTGAGTTCAGATAACTGCTACTGGTGTGTAGTTGATACAGCTGTGTGGTTGGTGTGTAGTTTGGCCTGGCGTGTTGGTCAGTTTGGGGCAGGATGGGGTGCGTCAAGCAGTACCTGTGGAGGACCAGTCTCCTGTTCTTCTTGAGTGGACTCATCCAATGGGGTAAGAGTATCATCAGGTCTCCACACACCCCTCCACTCCTACCAAGGGGTGCCTTTTAGTTTGCAAAATAAAGAAGAACATTAAGCACATTAAAGAACATAGAAATGTAATATGTAAAATTTGATACAGTCCCCTGTATCAGTTTGCTGGGTGAAAAAATAATCTGCATATTAAAGGAACAAAAGGTTGTGCAGATTGTCAATTCTCTTTTACTTGTTAAATATCAGCAAAGTGCAAAGTGTTGAGTTGCATTTTAGTGTCCTTTGTCAGATGACGGGGGTGACTGTTGAAATGGCCACAGATCTAAATCAGTGTTTCTAAAAGCTGCTTTCTACATGGTTGGTCTGCTGATGAAATGTTATGAAATAGCCTTGGCATAACAGACAATGTCTACTGGGAATGAGTCACATAATGTTTCTGCTTTCATCAAACAGGCACTATGAAAGCAATTAATTTAACACAAACCCTGACGCTGGAAGATGATTTCTGTCAGATTGCAATGTAACAGCAGTTATTACACATTTTGATTTGCAGTACAATCAAACCTCCTCTACAGCAGCTGGAGCTCTGTTCTCAAACTATTACAGTTGAGACATAACTTTGGAGATATGAATGCAGTTTTCTTAGTTTATTGACAAGAGGAGGACAGTGCAGACTGAAACCATACCAAAAAAGGTCACATTTGAAGCCAGATATACTTGACTTTAAGTTTGTCTGAGAATATCGTCTTCCTCTTTTTTCTTATGTTCTCCAACTAGGCGGGGCTAAGGTGCTTGTTGAGGTGCAGTCTGGCCCTCTGTATCGTGTGACTGGCTACCCTTTCTCCATGTCCTGCAACGTGAGTGGTTTCTCTAACCCGGCAGCCCAGCAGGACTTCAGATTCTCCATCTACAAGCCAAACAGACCCACCCTTGAAATCCAGATCATCAGCACAGACGACAACAACTATGCCATGGCGGTGTACGGCGGCCGTGTCAGGGGGGGTGGTATCACTCTGGAGCGCCTGTCAGCGACCTCGGTCCTCTTCCACGTGAAGAGTCTGGAGGAGGGGGACGAGGGCGAGTACGAGTGCCACACCCCAAACTCAGAAGCTGTATATCACGGGACGTACAATGCTAAAGCCACATTGAAGGGTAATGTTATTTTTCACTTATTGCCTAAATGAAAATACTTTCTGTGTCTGCCATATCTGTATAATTCACAAACCATTACTTAACTAACTCTGGTTACTTGAACTTAATCTGTCAATCACATTAACCCCTCCCTACTGTAGTGTTGAAATCCATCCCTCAAATCCTGTTTCATAGTGATCGAGGACACCCTGACCACCTCCTCCACTGGCCCCGCCTCCTTCACCCTATCAGAGGGTGACGCCCTAACCCTGCAATGCCTCGCCTCCAGCAACACCTTCCAGCACACCCACCTGTCTGTCACCTGGTATCTCCATGGAGACGGGGAGGCCTCGCCCCGCCCCATCATCTCTCTGGACCGTGATTTGACGGTGAGTCTGGGTCAGGGGTTTGAGGGACGGTACCAGGCAGGGCTCATTGGTCTGGACAAGCTGGAGCAGGCCACATACAGGCTGAAGATGGCCAGGATCGAGCTGTCCGACACAGGGAGGATCTACTGCCAGGCCCAGGAGTGGATCCAAGACCCAGACCGGAGCTGGTACCCAATCGCCCATAAAGACGCACAGGCAACCACATTGGAGGTCAAAGCCATAGGTGAGAAACACCTCAATGTGTCTTTTGCCTCCCAGCCTTAGCCTTGGACCAGATTGTGTTTACACATCCATGCAATGTTTTTGTATTTGTGCTTGGCTAAGAGGAATTATGGGTTAAGAGGACATATACATGTATGCCCAGTCCCGCTTTTGTCTGATTTCCTGTAACTAAATGCTGATTTAGGGTTTCCTGTGTCTCAGAGGTGATTATGAGTGATGGGTTTCCTGTCTGTCTGAGAAGTGGTTGTGAGTGAAATTATGTCTCTCTCTGCCAGAGGGGGCTCCCGACCAGGGCTCCGGCTCTATGGTGGTACGTATGACCATATACAAAGCACAGCTCCAGGAGGGGGAGGAGCTGGCCATGCAGTGCATTGTGGATGCCCAGGGCATTGCAGGGCGTTTTTTCTCTGTGGCCTGGGTCAAGGACAACCAGGAGCTGGCCCAGATCGGGCCAACTGGGGTCCTGTCTGTGGGGCCGGAGTACGGGGGGCGAGAGAGCGGGGGTGAGCTGAGAGCTGTGCGGACGGGGGAGAAGACACACCTGCTCACCCTGCAGCCCGTCAGAACCCAGGACCAGGGAGCGTACCACTGCAGGGCCTGGCCACAGGAGAGGGATGGGAACGGGGTCTTCACACAGGGACCCAGGCAGGAGTCCACCACCGAGCCTATCACCATCACAGCTACAGGTGAGTGACCTGACACTTAGCCAATCAGAATCAAAGCTACAGGTGAGTAATCTAGTAAAAAGCCAATCAGAATCAAAGCTACAGATGAGTAATCTAGTAAGAAACCAATCCAAATTAGAGCTACAGATTAGTCATCAGGCACTGAGTCAGAATTAGAGGGCGTGTTCGAGTTGTAAGGCTACTGAAGATGAGTACAGACAGAAGTCGACAGGAGAGATGCATCCACTGTAGTGGTTTTCCAACAGCAAGGCTCGGCTCAATATGGCAGTGTGAACATACGTAGCTGTCATTGCTTATAAAGGTTTTTCTCTACAATGTCGAAATAACCATGTCTCTAACCCCCATCTCACATACTGACAAACTGAAATCATATGTGGGTACACTGTACAATACATTTGTAAGAGAGAGAGGTCTCAAATATCCATTAATTTGTATATATCCACTGTATACATGAAATCGTGACAAAGTTGGTTACAGTTTCAGTCACGTCTTTGGTAACGTTTGTGTTGGTCCAGCAAAAACACTAATAATTGGTTGACAGAGCCTTCCACAATGCAGGCGATGGCTGCAGGATGACGTTGGTTAAGAGCAACTGCAGAAACTTGCAGTCAACTGATCACATGGTTTTTGTAAAGTTCATGCAGTTGACATGTAGGTCCACGTGGAATACGTTTTATCCCCATAATGCAACACACTTTGACTGAAATGCTCACTGACTTGACAAAACTGATACACTCAAATGCACCCAATGTAATACGGTAGGTGTTTCATCAGCTTCCCAAATGGCTGCTACATCAAACAACAACAGAACCTCAATATCCTCAATAACTTTAGTTTGTGCATTGACCTGGCTCTGACCTCTGTTATTACACATGTACCACATAAACACTTCTCACATACTCAGCACCTTCTTTTTGTCTGTTCTCAGAGAGTGGTTTGGCCGTTACCATGGAGAACCAGAAGGTGAGCGTTGACGAAGGGGACGAGCTACAACTCGCCTGTAGTGTGAGTGGGGTCAAGGGTCAGCTCTCCGTCACCTGGCAATACAGATCAGGGGCGACGGGCCCCTTCAGTGATGTCATAAGCCTGAGCCAGGTGGGTGTGCTGGAACCGGGGACAGAGTTGGGGCAGAGAAACGTTCGTACCCTGCGTCCCACGGCAGACACATTCACCCTGGAGCTGAGTGAGGTTACGCCCTCTGACGCAGGAGCCTATCAGTGCACCGTCTCAGAGTGGACCACGGAAACCAATGGCAATACCAAGAAAACCAGCAGCCAGTCACAATACTGCATCGTGGAGGTCCGTCCCGTGGGTAAGAGCACTGTGAGAGAGAGAGAGCAATAACTTTATGGCTGACCACTGATCTTTCACATGTCAGATGGATTCGATTGAATCTGTTTGCAGCTGACCATGTTCTCCTTGCCCTCACAGCCACTGGTAGCGTTGGCCCTAAAAGACCTGATAGTTGTCATCAGTGATATCTCATCATTGTCCTTGGCTTGCAGAGTCTCTGCTGAGGGTGGACCTGAAGAGTCGCGGTATCGAGGTGACAGAGGGGGGTGAGGTGGAGCTGGTGTGTTGGGTTCGAGGGCCCTCTCTCCCGGTCACTGTGACGTGGAGCCTGCACCACGAGGGGGGGTCGGCCCCGGACAACATCCTGACACTGTCGCACACCGGTGACATCACGTGGCACGGCGACCAGAGCAACTACCAGTTGAGGGTGACCACAAGCAAGGGGGAGGTGCATCACATCCTCCGCATCATCAGAGCAAGCCGCAGGGAGGCAGGGCGCTACCAGTGTGTGATCTCAGCGTTCCTGCAAGGGAGACACAGGAAGCCGCAGAACTCCAACCTGCTGGCTGTGTTGGTCCAGACTCCAGGTAGGTAAGGTCAAAGGTTACAGGACAACCTGGGGTTAGGGTCTCAGCCTTCATCACACTTTCTTTATCTCTCTATCTTTCTCTCTCTCTCTCTCTCTCTCTCTCTCTCTCTCTCTCTCTCTCTCTCTCTCTCTCTCTCTCTCTTTCTCTCTCTCTCCCAGAGAGTGTACTTACCCTGTCCTCTAGCCCCTCCCCTCTGGATCGGAGCATCAACACAGTCATACAGATGGAATGCTCCGTTGTCAAGGCAACTTCTATATCCTCCCACTTCGCTGTCACCTGGTTGGTCCAGAAGAAGGGGGTGGGGAACCAGACCGTCCTCAGCTCAGACCGCGATGCCGTGATAACACTAGGGGCGGGATTAGGCACAGAACAGCGAATCAGTATGAGAAGACGTGAGAGGTGGAGCTTCGAACTGACCATTCGACAAGCCCATAGCTGGGACAGGGGGACGTACTACTGTGTGGTGGAGGAGTGGCTACAGGATCCTCACAGCCTATGGTACAAGCTCCTGTCCTCTTCTGCAGCTATGGAACTCCGCCTACAAGAGACAGGTGAATTATCCTGATGACAAGGCAACAAAAGTCTGCATCGGTAGAAGGACATTGTTTATCAGTAGAAGGACAATGTTTATCAGATCTATAGAGTATCTTGTTGTGCTGATTTGCAGTTTCTCTGACTTGAGTCTCTCTCTTTCTGTCTCTCTGTCTCTCTCACTCCCAGGGAGTGACCTCAGTGTTAACAAGACAGATCTGGAGATGGAGGTCAGAGAGGGAAAGGGGGTGGAGCTGACCTGCACTTTGACCTCAGGTGACCCTGCCTCTCTCTACGCACTCACCTGGTTCTACATGAGGCGTGGCTCCTCCTCCTCTCACAGGGTTCCCCTGGTGATTCTGGGCCATGATGGCATCCTGAAATACCCAGATTACAACCAGGGGCTCCAGGACCAGAAGGGGAGGCTGATCTTCTCCAGGACCACTCATGGTACCTTTCTACTGGGTCTACAGGGAGCTCGTCAGGAAGACAGTGGAGTTTACCAGTGCCATGTGGACCAGTACAAGTACAGTCATGATGGCAATTGGGAATTTAGCGCCTCCGACCAATCAGGCACAACCAACCTCACTGTACGACGACCAATAGGTATGATGTCATCATTTATGACTCCATGATGTCAGACTATACAAATACAACGGGTATTTATCTTACCTTCCTCTGTTCTCTCCCTCTCCAGAACTTGAGTCTGAATTGCTGTCTGAACCAGGATGTGCCACTGGATTAGTTCTACACATCTTCATCCCTCTTGTCTGTATCCTGGCAATTGTCATCATGATGCTGTCAATCAAGCTGAAAGGGCGGGGCTCAGGTGGAAACAAGAAACAAGCCAACTCTCTGTGGGCGGAGGAAAACCCACTGAAGCCACGCCCAGAAGAATGAGCACAGAGGAGAGGTGAGGAGGGAGATGGAGAGAGGATGAGAAGAGCTAAGGAAATGGAAGGAGTACATAAGAGAGGAGAAGACATGAGGGGAGAAAAGGAGAGGATGTGGGATGGGGAGTTTTGATTAGATGGGGAAGGGGGGGGGGAAGTGAGAAGATGTGGGATGGGGAGGGATGATAAGATGGGGAAGGGGGGGGGAAAGTGAGAGGATGTGGGATGGGGAGGGATGATAAGATGGGGAGGTGGGGAGAAAGTGAGAGGATGTGGGGGAGGGGGGAAGTGAGAGGATGTGGGATGAGGAGGGATGATAAGATCGGGAAGGGGGGGAAAGTGAGAGGATGTGGGATGGGGAGGGATGATAAGATGGGGAGGGGGGGTGAGAGGATGTGGGATGGGGAGGGATGATAAGATGGGGAAGGGGCGAAAGTGAGAGGATGTGGGATGGGGAGGGATGATAAGATGGGGGGGGAGTGAGAGGATGGGAATGGAGATAGGGGAGAGCTGAGCAGCATTAGAGCTTTATTTAATTTTTATGTGATTTATTTTTTATTCCAAGCACCTTTTTACTTGTTAACACAAAAGGATTTACAGTTCCGCACATTTACTTCCTTAACGCAGAATTAGAACTTGAAATGTACATTGCCACTGCTTTGAGAGAACTTAGTTAGTTTTGATAGATTCAAGAACAGCAAGGCAGAAACAGCATTTGATTTTGATGCGAACCGTCCAGAGCTGGTTTTAGGGGGCTGGTTTTTTAGGGGGCCATCCAGAGCTGGGGTTTTTATGTAGTTTTACTTCTCCTGTAAAGTATTGAGTTTAGTGTTCTCTGGTGACTCAAAGCTCCAGACTCACTGACTAGCAGATGCGCTGAAACCTTTGATCATAAATCTGATCATTAAGTTTGTATGAATTAGTTTTTCACAAATATTATATTTATGAATTGTTGAAAGATATTCTGCCATGAACTGTACTCATTTGCATCAACATTTTGCCTCAAGAATGGATCGGTTTTATTTCTTCATTTGTTTCAGTTGGGACTGCTAAAGAAACATTTGAAGCACATCTGAAAGAACTCTGAGAAAGTGTTTATGATATCACAAACATTTCAGACCAAAAGTTATTAATAAAGCATTGCTGTCAGACATGTACTATTTGTAAAGTTGCTGGTGTTTTATCTGGTTTGTAATAAATATAGCTATAAAAACGTATTCGTAGCTCACTGTTATTTGTCATAAAAAACAATTTGGTTGAACTTCTCTTCTATTCTAGCACCATCTGCCGTCTGTCTGTCTGTCTGTCTGTCTGTCAGTCAGTCGGTGTGGGTGCGACTGCGAATGTGGTGGTGGGTTCCGTTACCTCTCTCCGTCTCAGTTGTGACAACACAGTGGCTGTGCCCGGTAAACAGGAAGTGTTCACTGTACCCTGAAATGCAGTGTAAAAAGGAAGCACATGAGAATGATTCAACTTTACCAAGTGACTCCGTTTTAATAATCAAAAGTTGAAGAAATTACTATTCATATATCAAATAACTTTACATAAATAGGAAATTAATCTCTGAATGAATTTCACTAAATAATAGAAATATAGTTGACATTACGGGTCCACACTTTTCAGGGTTAAATTAACACACTGCTTAGTGTAAAGCCTTATTTGCATATTTCCCAGAGTGCTTTGTCTTTTCGAGTCGTAGTTGTAGAGTTACTACCCATGTCTGTATTTGTTAGTGACAGAGACATGGTTGTTGAATTCATTCATTGTCAGTACTGTGGACTTCACCAAGTGAGTTCTTACTGTAGGCGAATGTTATCATAAAAATTGAAATGTTTATGACAATACATTACATATATCATAAGGCCTTACTTTGATGGCCAAGTTTTACCCTAACACAGTTGTGTTAGGAACCTCCTGGTTTACAGGGCACATCAGGCCTGGAAGTCACATTATGCTGATTTGCAGTGACGTGTAATTCTTATTGGAATCCAACCAGAGTTAGGACATCCAAGAGTTTGAATTTTTATTCACCCACAACCTGCATTCAGAATGACTATCAGGTTTAGGAACATTGATAAAGAACACGACCTAAACCATTTAAGACTGGAACAACCATTTCAGTAAATCGAACTAACTGATTGGAATAGTTTAGAAAAACGTATATTATTTATCTTTGTGCGCATAATATTAATCAATCAATCAAGGTACATGCAAAACACAGATATTAAAAACAATCCTAAAAACTATATCTGCAGTAGAGCATGCTGGGAAATATGATAATGATGGTTGTGGTTTTGATGGGAATGTTATCTTATATATGTTATCTTATAGAGTTAATTTAACTCCTGAATGTTACACTGAAAAATCAACACCAGGTAACACTGGCCAATTTGCTGTGCAGTATTTCAATCTCATTCATGAACACACTAACATTCACATAATGTCCCAGTCTTGTATAGCCATTTTATGATGACCTTATCAGCAACAGACACAAGTTCAAAAGGCTGATAATTGAACCATGGCCTTTTCTCATTTGGTAAAAAAACTGTCCTCAGCCCTCTCCTCCGTCCTCTCTCCCCTGTAACCCGGAAACTGATGAGTGGTCGAGGAGTGTCAATTCGTTAGTAGACAAACGGAAGATGGTCCTCCCCTCCTCGATAGCCTCCTTTTGGCAAGGAAACATAAGTGTATCCTACCTGTCCTTTGTGGAAGAGTTTTGAAATCTGCCACACCCCCTTTGAATCAGCTATTGTTTTCTTGAAGGAGAAAAGCATGCAAACATTAATACACTATATGCTACTTATTCCTTTATCTATAAAATGTATTGTACAACTAGCTACATTTGTTTTTATCACTTTATACATTTATTTTGGGATTCCACCCTGTAAATGTAATTTGCATGATGTTGCACTATTGGAGGAGAGTCTCATTTTATACATGCACATTTTCATCCACTTTCCCTCTCATCGCCGCCTCTCTTTTTCAAAAGTAGAGGACGCAGGAGTTGAGCAAATCCAATTGAGAAAAGGCCCATGAAGGTGTAATATGGTGAAACCAACCCAACACCTTCTGCATCTCCCTTAAACCATGAGATTACATATTCTCCCGTTATTACAATTATTCCATCTGATCCATATGGAAAAGATGTAGATAAATTAAAAAAGATTCCTACATGTTCTACCTGGAACTTGTAAGTAATACATATGGCAGCAAATACACAAACAAAATTCATAGAAGATTATTGTAATGTCTGACTTATATGAGTGGGTTACATTTAGACATAACAGAAATGTTGCATGTATTATATAAAAAACATACGAGAGACATGTAAGCTAAGCATTCTGAGGTCTCACATACATGGGACATACACATTTCAAAGCACTTGCATACCAATGTCTGACGTCATTGACGCATGCAATGTGCAATGTGCGAGAAGAGGAGGAGGAGATTCAAACAAAACTTTCCATACATGTTTGCCCAGGGCAGAAGTGGTAAGAAAGTGACTTTTTGGGCCTGAATGCCAAAACATTCAGGAGATAAAGGTGCTCAAAGTTGACCCATTTTGGATACCCCACCATTCCATGAGACATCCATGTCTTCATCATTGGAGAAAAAAAAATACGTTTGAGTTTGATATCATTTATCTATATGCATTATGGCTGAGCATGCACATGCCAAATGTTGTCAATTAGCTAGATTAAATTCACTAAAAAGAGAGCGAATAATCCTAATCAAATTCTAACCAAAACGAAACAACAACTTGTTTTAATTAAATAGGCTATGTCTAAATACACTTATAGGCACCATAATTGCTTCTCCTGGGCATATAATATTAAAACAACGCAGACTATCGAGGGTTTTACACACATCTAAACTTTTCACAGTTGCTGGACAAAGAACCAATATAAAGAGAAAAGGAGAATGTCCACTCACCGTTATACTGCTCCCAAATATAATGTTTTATATACATAATGGAACCATCTTACAGATCGCATTCACACTTCTCCAGAAGTTGCATTGCATCCGCGCCATGGACGTTCTCACTATAGAACTAGGACAGTGAAGTTTGGTTTTAATCAAATTAAACGAAAAACAAGCAATTTTTTTACAACAATAAATACATGTAAAATGTAACGATATCATAAAATCGGCAGGATAAAAAAAGACACGACGCATTGCTGTTGAACCAGCCTTCGTTATAGTAGAAAGTTAAGGCAGCCCATGGAGGGCTTGGGTTTTGAAAATATGAAACGGAAAACAAACAATTGTTACAGGAAAATAACTTCTAAATAGGAGGTTTGCCGGTAGGTTCTCATCTTTTGTTTCATGATGAGCATGGACACATGTAGCCTACATCATGGAGGGGGGTTTACGCACGTCCAAGGCATGGCTAAAATAGATAGATAAAAAGGGGAATGTCAGCTCACTGTTGATCCTCTCAAACTTTATATTTTAATAAAGCTTTGTTGATTAAGATTTATTTCCAAGCGGTCTCAAGAGCCAAAAACTTTATCAACGGTCTTGACTAGCCTACTTGATTACATTGGGCAGGACAAAAGAAAACAGCTTTCATTGAGAGGAGGGGAGGCTATGTTTGGTTTTTAATCAAATAAAACGAAATGGGGAAAACACATGAGTTTTTGTATTTTTATAAATACAAAGTATACAGGCACCAAAAGCACATGTTGTTCCATGCGCATAAGGGCAGTGTGCATTACGTCAGGATAGGCGGCGTTCCTGCAGTCAAAATTCATGCCATAACCAACTGCGTTACCGCTAAAACCAGCTTTTGGTTGGTCTTAAATATCTCTACCAGTGCTGCCTGAAATTAGCACTTTGAATCATGTTTTTAAGGACACGCTTCAAATATTTCCACCCCTCCCATCTGAATGCAAGCATGCTGATGTTAGACAGGTAAATTACAGAATTACAGACGAAAATAAAGCCCCAAATCTCAGTGAAACAACTCACTCTAGTGGAGACTTTATGCAGTGCAACAGAGAGTTGCTTTACCATAATCAGTCTTTATATTAATTTCTAACATTTTGTAATAGATACACTATTCTACAAAATAAACCAATCACTTTATTATATCAATTATATTGGAATATGGAGCTAGGAGCATCTTAGAAATATTATGCACTATACCTGAGAGCTGTCTTGTGTACCTTTTACCCCGAGGGGAATGCTTCAGCATCATCTTTCTGTTTGTGAGTTTCTGAGAGTGCTGAGACTTCTATCAGATGCTGCTCCTGCACAATGGAATGCCGGAGGTAAGGGGATGAGAACATTACCTACAGAGGAAGACTATCAGCATGGGCTCCCTCTCTCTCTCTCTCTCTCTCTCTCTCTCTCTCTCTCTCTCTCTCTCTCTCTCTCTCTCTCTCTCTCT